CCCTCTCCCTCCTCCTCTACCTTTCCCTCCTCTCTTCTCACCTGTTGTCCAGGCTGGTTTCAATTTCCTGGGCTCAAATGATCCTCTCGGTGACTCAAAGTTCTGTGATTACAGGTGTGAGCCACGGTGCCCAGCCTACAGCTGTTTTTTGGAACCAGGAGGCAACTGAGCTTCATGCTTTTTGTTTGACCATTATGTCTATTTAGTCTCTTCTGTGTGTGTGTTTTCCTTTTCCTTCTTTTGTTTTTGTTTTGTTTTTATTTCTTCTTTTGTTTTTGCTTTGTTTTTATTTTATGTTTTTATTTGTGATTTATTCTTAAAAATCGTTTTTGGATCTAGTGGCCGGACGTGGTGGCTCACGCCTGTCTGTAATCCCAGTGCTTTGGAAGGCCGAGGCAGGTGGATCACCTGAGGTCGGGAGTTCAAGACCAGCCTGACCAATATGGAGAAACCCTGTCTCTACTAAAAATACAAAATTAGCTGGGTATTGTGGTGGGCACCTGTAATCCCAGCTACTTGGGAGGCTGAGGCAGGAGAATCGCTTGAACCTGGGAGGCGGAGGTTGTGGTGAGCCGAGATCACTCCATTGCACTCGAGCCTGGGCAACAAAAAGCAAAACTCCATCTCAAAAAAAAAAAATCTTTTTGGAGCTAGAACAGTTTCATATCCTTTTGCCCCAGGATATTGAGGATATTGACTTTTTTTTTTTTTTGAGATGGAGTCTCACTCTGTCACCCAGGCTAGAGTGCAATGGCACGATCTTGGCTCACTACAACCTCTGCCACCTGGGTTCCAGCAATTCTTCTGCTTCAGCCTCCCTAGCAACTGGGATTACAGACATGCACCACTTCATCCGACTAATTTTTATATTTTTAGTAGAGGCAGGGTTTCACCATGTTGGCCAGGCTGGTCTCGAACTCCTGACCTCAGGTGATCTGCCCGCCTCGGCCTCCCAAAGTGCTGGGATTACAGGCATGAGCCACCGTGCTGGCTGCCATTGCCTATTTTTTAAAATTATTTTTGTTTTTATTTATTTATTTTGGGATGGAGTCTCGCTCTGTTGCCAGGCTGGAGTGCAGTGGTGAGATCTTGGCTCACTGCAACCTCTACCTCCTGGGTTCAAGCGATTCTCCTGCCTCAGCCTCCCAAGTAGCTGGGTCTACAGGCGTGCACCACCACACCCAGCTAATTTTTGTACTTTTTGTAGAGATGGGGTTTCACCATGTTGGCCAGGATGGTCTTGATCTCTTGATCTTGTGATCCGCCCACCTCAGCCTCCGAAAGTGCTGGGATTACAGGTGTGAGCCACCATGCCCAGCCTCACCTATTTTTTATTTTTAAAAGTGTAAAACATTACTGAATTTTATTTCAACAGTATTGCTTTTAATGACTGTTGAGTATTCTATTTTTATATTAGTGTGTTTATCTTTTTTAAATTGATTTGCAAGATCTGTTTGTATATTAAGATTATTGACCACTGCGTGGTATGTATATGTTACAAATATATTTTTTGAGCATATTGGTTCTTTTTTTTTAATTTAATTTTTTCCTTTTTTTTCTATTTTGTAATTGTATTTGGGCACTGGGTCACATGTGCACATCCTGCATCCTGCAGGATTGCTGCATAGGTACATACATGCCATGGTGGTTTGCTGTCTCCATCCCCCCGTCACCTACGTTAGGCCTTTCTCCCTGTGTTATCCCTCCCCACCTCCCCACACCCCCACTCCCTACTCTCCTTCCTCTCCCCTCCACCCCTCCACCTACCCCGGTGATTGTTGTTCCCTTCCCTGTGCCCATGTGTTCTCACTGTTTGTCACCTGCCTATGAGTGAAAACAGTGAAAACATGTGGTGTTTGGTTTTCTGTTCTTGTGTTAGTTTGCTGAGAATGAAGGTTTCTAGATTCATCCATGTCTCTACAAAGGACACAAACTTGTTTTTTTTTTATGGCTGCATAGTATTCCATGGTGTATATGTGCCACATTTTCTTTGTCCAGTCTATCATTGACGGGCATTTGGGTTGGTTCCAGGTCTTTGCTATTGTAAATAGTGCCACAATGAACATACATGTGTATATGTCTTTATAATAGAATGCTTCATAATCCTTTGGGTATATACCCAGTAATGGGATTGCTGGGTCAAATGGAATTTCTATTTCTAGATCCTTCAGGAATCGCCACACTGACTTCCATAATGGTTGAACTAATTTACACTCCCACCAACAGTGTAAAAGTGTTCCTTTTTCTCCACATCCTCTTCAGCATCTGTTGTATCCAGATTTTTTAATGATTGCCATTCTAACTGGCATGAGATGGTATCTCAGTGTGGTTTTGATTTGCATTTTTCTAATGACCAATGATGATAAGCATTTTTTCATATGTTTGTTGGCTACATAAATGTCTTCTTTTGAAAAGTGTCTGTTCATGTCCTTCACCCACTTTTGAATGGGTTTATTTGTTTTTTTTCTTGTAAATCTGATTTTGTTCTTTGTAGATTCTGGATATGAGCCCTTTGTCAGATGGGTAGATTGCAAACAATTTTTCCCATTCTGTTGGTTGCTGGTTCACTCTGATGATAGTTTCTTTTGCTGTGCAGAAGCTCTTAAGTTTAATTAGATCCCATTTGTCTATTTTGGCTTTTGTTGCCATGGCTTTTGGTGTTTTAGTCATGAAGTCCTTGCCTATGCCTATGTCCTGAATGGTATTGCCTAGGTTTTCTTCTAGGGTTTTTATGGTGTTAGTTCTTACATTTAAATATTTAATCCATTTGGAGTTAATTTTTGTATAAGGTATAAGGAAGGGGTCCAGTTTCAGCTTCCTGCGTATGTCTAGCCACTTTTCCCAACACCATTTATTAAACAGGGAATCCTTTCCCCATTGCATGTTTTTGTCCAGTTTGTCAAAGATCAGATGGTTGTAAATGTGTGGCCTTGCTTCCAAGGCCTCTGTTCTGTTCCATTGGTCTATATGTCTGTTTCTGTACCAGTAGCATGCTGTTTTGATTACTGTAGCCTTGTAGTATAATTTGAAGTCAGGTAGCATGATGCCTCCAGCTTTGTTCTTTTTGCTTTGGATTGTCTTGGCTATGTGGGCTCTCTTTTGGTTCCATATCAAGTTTAAAGTGTTTTTTTTCCAGCTTCTGTGGTTTTGCAGGGTACAGCCTCCCTCCTGGCTGCTTTCATGGGCTGGTGTTGAGTGTCTCCAGCTTTTCCAGGCACATGGTGCAAGCTGTCAGTGGATCTACTATTCTGGGATCTGGAGGGCAAGGGCCCTCTTCTCACAGCTCCACTAGGCAGTGTCCCAGTGGGGACTCTCTCTGGGGGCTCCCACTCCACATTTCCCTTCTGCATTGCCCTAGCAGAGGCTCTCCATCAAGGCTTCATCCCTGCAGCACACCTCTGCCTGGACATCCAGGCATTTCCATACAGCTTCCCAAATATAGGTGGAGGTTCCCAAACCTCTGTTCTTGACTTCTGTTCACCAGCAGGTTCAACACCATGCATAAGCCACCAAGGCTTGGGGCTTTCCCCTTCCGAAACAATAGCCTGACCTGTACTTGGTCCCTTTTAGCCATGGCTGGGATGCGGAGCACCAAGTCCCGAGACTGCACAAAGCAGCAAGGCTGTGGGCCCCGCCCATGAAACCATTTGTCCTCCTAGGTCTCTGGGCCTGTGATGGGAGGGGCTGCTGTGAAGACCTCTGACATATCCTGGAGACATTTTCCCCATCCTCTTGGCAATTAACATTTGGCTCCTTGTTATGCACATTTCTGTATCAGGCTTGAATTTCTCCTCAGAAAGTGGGTTTTTCTTTTCTATTGCATTGCCTGGCTGCAAATTTTCATCTTTTATGCTCTGTTTCTCTTTTAAACATAAGTTTCAATTCCAAAGCATATCTTTCTGTATACGTAAAACTGAAATGAATGCTTTTAACAGCACCCAAATCACCTCTTGAATGCTTTCCTGCTGAGAAATTTCTTCTGCCAGATACCCTAAATCATCTCTCTCAAGTTCAAAGTTCCACAGATCTCTAGGGCAGGGGCAAAATGCTGCCAGTCTCTTTGCTAACACATAACAAAAGTGACCTTTACTCCAGTTCCCAAAAAGTTCCTCATCTCCATCTGAGACCACGTCAGCCTGGACTTCATTGTCCATGTCACTATCAGCAGCATGTCGGTCAAAGCCATTCAACAAGTCTCTAGGAAGTTCCAAACTTTCCCTCATCTTCCTATCTTCTCTCTTCTGAGCCCTCCAAGTCTCTACGAAGCTCCAAGCTTCGCTGCATTTTTCTGTCTTCTTCTGAGCCTTCCAAACTGTTCAAACCTCTGCCTGTTACCCAGTTCCAAAGTTACATTTTCACGTCTCCTTAAAGCAGCACCCCACAATTTACTGTATTAGTCTATTCTCATGCTGCTAATAAAGGCATCCCTGAGACTGGGTAATTTATAAAGAAAAAGAGCTTTAATGGGCTCACAGTTCCACATGATTGGGGAGGCCTCACAATCATGGTGGAAGGCGAAGGAGGAGCACAGCCATGTCTTACATGGCGGCAGGCAAGAGAGTGTGTGCAGGGGAACTGCCTTTATAAAACTATCAGATCTCATGAGACTTACTCAGTATCACGAGAAGAGCATGGGAAAAACCTGCCCCCATTATTCAGCTACCTCTTACTGGGTCCCTCCCATGACACATGAGGATTATGGGAGGTATAAGTCAAAATGAGACTTGGGTGGAGACACAGCCAAGCTATATCACCTTCCTAACCAGAGGTCAGATATTACTTGTATTTTTGTTGTTGTGTGTCACAGTTTTGTAGTTTTATTGTCATGCATCCACTTAGAGTTCACTCTGGTAATATAGGATTAGAGCCTAGGAATCTAAATTTTTTACCAAAATATTTATCTAGATATGACCCTGGGGTAGGGTGGGGCTTTGAGGGCCAGTTTCATCTTGAAGGCTTCTCGGTGACTGACTGTCTCTGTACTCTTCCACCTTTGCCAGGCCTTGGAGACCAGGGCCAGCCCTGGCCACACCCCAGGCTGTGTCACCTTCGTCCTGAATGACCAAAGCATGGCCTTCACTGGAGATGCCCTGTTGATCCGTGGGTGTGGACGGACAGACTTCCAGCAAGGTGACTGGCTCCTTTATCCAGCCCAAGATCTTCATATAGTTATGTATGTGTCAAGTGTTTAAGTATCTGTTACAAGAATGAATGAGTGGACTTTAAACTTTTAGGGGACTTCAGTATTAAATTCAAGGGGTTTACCTGCTAGAGCAGTGGTCCCCAACCTTTTTGGCACGAGGGACTGCTTTGATGGAAGAGAATTTTTCCATGGACCATGGCAGGGTATAGTTTTGGGGATTCAGTTGCATTACATTTATGGTATACTTTATTTCTATTATTTTTACATTCTAATATATAATGAAATAATTATGTAACTCACCACAAGGTAGAATCAGTGGGAGCCCTGAACTTCTTTTCCTGCAACTAGATGGTTCCATCTGGGACAGATGGAAGATAGTGACAGATCATCAGGCATTAGATTCTCATAAGGAGAACATAACCTAGATCCCTTGCACATGCAGTTCACAATAGGGTTGCTGGTCCTATGAGAATCAAATGCTGCCACTGATCTGACAGGAGGCAGAGCTCAGGTTGTAATGGGAGCAGTGGGGAGTGGCTGTAAATGCAGTGAAGCTTCACTCACTCACCCGCCACTCGCCACCTTCTGCACACAGACAGTTCCTAACAGGCCACAGACGGGTACCCAGGGTTAGGGACCCCCATGCTAGAGTATGGGAAGCGTTAGATTCAGGGGCTTAGCTGCTGGGGGACCGTTAGATTCAGGGGTATGTTAGTTACATATGTGAGGCCAGCTTGGGCAACATAGTGAGACTACCTCTCTAAGAAACAAATATAGCTGCCAGGCACAGTGGCTTACGTCTGTAATCCCAGCACTTTGGGAGGCCAAGATGGGTGAATCACCTGAGGTCAGGTTCAGGACTAGCCTGGCCAACATGGTGAAACCCCATCTCTACTAAAAATACAAAAAATTAGCCAGGTGTGGTGGCGGGCACCTGTAATCCAAACTACTTGGGAGGCTGAGGCAGGAGAATCACTTGAACTGGGGAGGTGGAGGTTGCAGTGAGCCGAGATCACGCCACTGCACTGCAACTGGGGAACCAGAAGGGAAACTGTAAAAAAAAAAAAATAAAAGAAAAAAGAAAGAAAAGAAACAAATGTAGCTTAAAAAAAAAAAAGTTGTTAGAGCCAGCGGTTTAATTACCAGGGAGCAATAATCCTTTTGGAGTCAATCTGCTAGGGGCAGTTAGATTTAGGAGTTTCTCTGTGGAAAGGGAGTATAGTTTCAGAGTCTCAGGGTTGGACCATCCTTTGAGCATGTGTGAGAATGTTGGGTTAACACTAGGTCTGGGATTTAGCTGCCTTGCAGGCAGAGGTGAGGCTGGATGAGAGGGTAAAAGAGAAACCACGATGAGATGACCCTTTTTTTTGGCATCCCCAGGTCTTTTCCTCCCTTTTCTCTCTCTCCTTATCTCTGCATCTCAGTCTCTGTCTTTTTCTCTCCAAGGCTCCCCATCTTCCATTTATTCATTTCCAGTACAGTCAGGAAGCTGAAGGGTTTAGGCTGAATGCAAGGTGGAAGAGAGGTTTGCCCCTTCTTAGGACTCAGAGCTGCTTGTGGGGACCATGGCTTCATTCTCCTCCTGGCCTCATGTCTTCTGTTTCTTTCTTCTTCTTCCTTTTTTTTTTTTTTTTTTTGAGATGGAGTTTTGCTCTATCGCCCAGGCTAGAGTGCAGTGGTGTGATCTTGGCTCACTGCAACTTCCACCTCCCTTGTTTAAGCGATTCTCCTGCCTCAGCCTCCCAAGTAGCTGGGATTACAGGCATGGGCCACTACACCTGGTTAATTTTTATATTTTAAAAAAATAATATATATAGACGGGTTTTCGCCATGTTGATGAGGCTGGTCTCTAACTCCTGACCTCAAGTGATTCCCCCCGCCTCAGCCTCCCAAAGTGCTAAGATCACAGGCATGAGCCACCGTGCCTGGCCTTGTCTTCAGTTTCTTACCTTCTAGTCCTCCTCATTTGTTCAGAACCCTTTTTTGGCATCCCCTGGGTGAGAGTCAAGGTCACAAATGACACTCTCTGGTGCTTCCCCGGTCATTCCAACCTTGTTTACAGCCATGCTGAATTTCTCAGGGTTCCTCAGTTCTTTGTGTGTGCTGTTTTATCTGCCTAGAGTGCCTTTCCCTGTCCTCTACTTAGACAAAGGGATATTGACAGAAGGAGAGGGTTTAGCTATAGTGATTTTATCCTCCCACCCTTTTCCTGAAGGAAGGGATTAGAGTCTTCTGTCTTGTTGATCCACTGACCTCTGATCGTTCCTTCCCCAGGCTGTGCCAAGACCTTGTACCACTCGGTCCATGAAAAGATCTTCACACTTCCAGGCGACTGTCTGGTCTACCCTGCTCATGATTACCATGGTGAGGTCTTCCTGGAGGAGGTGGGGGGCATACATAACTTTGAAAGGGGAGTGTAAATCTCTGTAATCCTTGTAGGGCATGAAGCCTACCGGTCTCAGAAAATTCTCTGGCCAAAAAAAATTAAATTCTTGAGGCTGGGCATGGTGGCTCACACCCATATTCCTAGCATTTTGGGAGGCCAAGGCAGGAGGCTCATTAGAGCCCAGGAGTGAGTTTGAGACCAGCCTGAGTAACATGGCAAAACCCTGCCTCTACAAATACAAAAAATTAGCCGGGCATGGTGGCATGGTCCCAGCTACTTGGGAGGCTGTGATAGGACTACTTGAGCCCAGGAGGTTGAGGCTGCAGTGAGCTATGATTCTATCCCTATACTCCAGCCTGGGTAACAGAGCAAGACGCTGTCTAAAAAAAAAAAAAAAAAAAAAAAAATAGAGAGATAAAGTGCTGTGTGCGGATGTAGAAACTATGTGATTGCCAGACATCTAGAATTCTGCAGGATGTGGGTTTTCCTGAGCCTTCCTTTTGGAGCTTAGGGAACTGTGGGAAAACTACATTTCCCATAGTGCCCATGGAGGAGGGAAAACTATTTTAGGAATATTCTGGTGAAGAGCCTGTTAGTCTCCTGCCAAAGAGGCACCCAAGGCTTCCTGGGAAATGTAGTTCTGAGAGGCCCAAGGCACTGGACTCCTTGACTTTCCTTCCCCTCCCTTGGCCATTAGGGTTCACAGTGTCCACTGTGGAGGAGGAGAGGACTCTGAACCCTCGGCTCACCCTCAGCTGTGAGGAGTTTGTCAAACTGATGGACAACCTGAACTTGCCTAAACCTCAGCAGATAGGTGAGCCACTGAGGACCTGGACTTCTGGGTCTGAGGGAGGAGGAGCTGGGGACCTGGGCTCCTGGGTCTGAGGGAGAAGGGGCTGGGGGGTCTGGACTTCTGGGTCTGAGGGAGGAGGAGCTGGGGACCTAGACTTCTGGGTCTGAGGGAGGAGGGGCTGGGATCCTGGACTCCTGGGTCTGAGAGGAGTGGGCTCAGGACCAAAACTCTAGTTCCCTGAAGAGGAAAGGTTCCTGGGATTTCCGGGTCTTCAGTGGGGCCTGGGGTTCTGCCTAGGCCCCTCAGTTTCAACCTTGATTTATTCCTTTCAGACTTTGCTGTTCCTGCCAACATGCGCTGTGGGGTGCAGACACCCACTTCCTGATCTCACCTCTGTCAGATGCTCCTACCCAGTATGAATGCACTTGAGGGGAGAAGGGGGTGGCGTTGACACCGCACCTCTCCTTTCCCACCCCACCCTCGAACCCCAACCTCTGGAGCTTTCTAAATAAAACTTTTTTTTTTTTGCCATGAGTCTGACTTCAGCCTGTTTTCTGGGGTTTTCTTGGGTTTCTGGGCCAAACGGGTTGGAGTTCTGGTCCTGTGGAGAGGCTGGGAGGTCCAAGAAGCCTGCAAGGAGATTTCTTTCTTTTTTTTTCTTTTCTTTTTTTTTTTTTTTTTTTTTTGAGGCAGAGTCTTGCTCCTGCGCCCAGGCTGGAGTATAATGGTACGATTTCGGCTCACTGCAACCTCCGCCCTCGGCCTCCTGAATAGCTGGGATTATAGGCGCATGCCACCACGCCCAGCTAATTTTTGTATTTTTAGTAGAGACAGGATTTCACCCTGTTGGTCAGGCTGGTCTCGAACTACTGACCTCATGATCCTCCCACCTTGGCCCCCCAAAGTACTGGGATTACAGGTGTAACTCACAAGACCAAAAACAAACAGGGATATATGGGGCAGGTCTTCTCCTCACCTTGGATTAGAACACTGGCTTGCTTTTGAGCCACATCCCACTTAGCCCTGGAGTAAGGTTCTTTACTTCCCTAGGCCTCAGTTTTCTTATCTGTAAAACGGAAGTAATAATAACAGGGTGTTGTGGTGCTCTGATGAGTCATACGTGTGTGAGTGCTTGGCATTTTGCCTATCAGTGTTCACCATTGAAGTTATTATCATTTGGAAGGATCTTTTGGGTACTTCCTGGCTTGGAGTGACAGTAGACACAATGGTTAAGAACATGAACTTTGAATCCAGCGATCCGAGTTTTAAATTTTTAATTAAAAAAAAAAAAAAAGAACATGCACTTTCAGAGAGTGAAGCCTACATTTTACCATTTATAACATGTGTAGACCTTGGCTACATTTTTTTTTTGAGACAGGGTCTTAACTCTGCTGTCCTGGCTGGAGTGCAGTGGTGCATTCAAGGCTCACTGCAGACTCAACCTCCTGGGCTCAAGAGATCCTCCTCCCTCAGCCTCTGGAGAAGCTGAGTTTATAGGTGGGCACCACCACTCGTGGCTAATTTTTGTTTTTTGGTTTTTTTTTGTTTTTTGTTTTTTGAGAGTCTCACTCTGTTGCCAGGCTGGAGTGCAGTGGCACAATCTCGGCTCACTGCAACCTCTGCCTCCTCCCTGAGCTCAAGTGATTCTCCTGCCTCAGCCTCCTGAGTAGCTGGGATTACAGGTGTCTGCCAACACACTTGGCTAATTTTTGCATTTTTAGTAGAGACAGGGTTTCATCGTGTTGGCCGGGATGGTCTCTATCTCCTGTCCTTGTGATCCACCGGCCTTGGCCTCCCAAAGTGCTGGGATTACAGGCATGAGCCACCACACCCAGCCTAATTGTATTTTTAGTAGAGACAGGGTTTCTTCATGTTGCCCACGCTGGTCTTGAACTCCTGTCCTCAAGCAATTCATCTGCCTCAGCCTCCCAAAATGCTGGGGTTCCAGGCGTGAGCCTCAGTTCCCAGGCCATCTTGGGTGCATTTGTCCTCCTCAGCTTGTATCCCCAAGTATAAAATGGAGATAGTAGGCCAGACGGGGTGGCTCACACCTGTAATGTCAACACTTTGGGAGGCCAAGGCAGGCAGATTGCTTGAGCCCAGGAGTTGAAGACCACCCTGGGCAACATGAAGAAACCCAGTCTCTACTAAAAAAAAAAAAGAAAAAAAAAAAAATGGAGGTAGTAATCACTTTCTTGCTGGGCAGCTTTGAGGGTGAAATTAAATGACCGGGTGTAAAGTGTTCAGCACAGCTCTTGACTTCTAATCATCCCTTTTCATATACCAGTTATTTTCCTGTTTTCGCCCAGAGAGGAAAGGGTCTGGCTGAGACCTTTAACCTCTGCCCTCCACCCCACAGCAAAATTGGGGGGGGGGGGTGGCGGTACACTTCCCTCAGTCTGGGCAGGTCTCTGACTCAATTCAGGGCACCCCTTCCCCTTGTCCAGCTCCCCAAACCGGTCAGGGCCCTTTTAAAGGGCTCATTAGAGGGGAGAGGTCCCCATCTCCATTCCTGCCTTCCTTTCTGAACTCCCAGGGACTGGACATTAGAGAGGCACCCATACAGAGGTGGCCAAGACTCCTGGCCCTCCAGGGGGCAGGAATGGGGGTCTGGAGTGAGACTGGGAGGTCGCGATGCTGAGTTCCACGAGGGTGGGACCGGTGGGGCCGGGATGGCCGGATGCCTAGGCCGCGGGTGGGGCAAGCCCGTCGCTCCCTCCTCCCTCGGGAGCTGTTGGACCTGTTGTCCCCCCTCCACTTCCGGGCTGCTGGGGAGGGGGACGGGGCGGCCTCTCTCTCCTCCCTCTTCCCCTGCCACCTGTCTCATAGGCAGAAGCGGCCGTGCCCAGCGCGCAGAGAGGAGCGCGCCGAAGCCTGAGCTGGTGAGGGGGCTGAGGCTGCGGGGAGGTGGGGGCTGGACTTCGGAATCTCAGGGACTCCGACTCCTGGCTTGTCCAGAGGAGGGGAGCCTGGGAGCCCCGACTCCTGGATTCCTGGGTGAGGCGGCAGGGGCGCTGTTCCCCTGCACAGTGGGGTCGGGACTAAGCCTACTGGGCTCCGGGGAGGACGCGGCGGGAGCCGAGCTGCTGAGTCCGGGAGGGAGAAGATGGCTCGCTCTAAGAGAGTCCAAGAGATTGTGGGGGGCTGCTGGGAGGGTACAAGGCCTGACACCTGGAGAGGGAGGGGAGGCGGGGTCGAAGGGGCCAGTAGGGGGCGTGCTACGACCCCGGACTCAAATTCCTGTCGCCTTGGAGCCATCAAGCCCCGCCTCTGGAAACTTCAGGACTTGCGCCTTTGAACTCTTAGGCCCCGCCTCCTTGGGGGGGTCTCCGCGCCCCGCCGCAGACTCGCGCTGCGCTCGGGCCTCCTAGGCCCCGGCCCCGGCCCCGGCCCCGCCTCGCCCAGGCCCCGCCCCCGCCCCAGGCCCCGCCCCCAGAACGCCTGGTCCCGCCCACCTCGCAGGAGCCCGGGCGGCCATGGGGACGCGGAGCAGCCCCGAGGAGGGGACCCCGCCGCCGCCAGTCCCCGAACGCGATGTGGAGGTCCAGCACCAGGGCCATCCCGAGGAGACCCGGGAACAGGGGGCTTCCGACGTCCTGGAGGAGCCTTCGAGCCGCGGAGGAGCTGAGCGGGAGGCGGAGGAAAAAGAAGAAGGGGGAGAAGGCAGCAGCACCGAGAGCAGCCGCGACGCGGTGAGTGGCCGGAGGGCGACCGCGCGGGGGGCCTGGACCGACGGGGACCCAAATAGGTGGCCGAGCAGGTAGACAGATAGAGGGAAACCGGAAAGGCAGAGCGCCGGAGACAGGGCGAGAGACCCAGTGACAGCAGAGACTACTGAGACACAGACACCGGGACACGGAGCCAGAGAGGCAGAGACGCAGAGAACCAGATAGACAGAGCCACGGGGAGGCCCCAAGAACGGAGATGGACCCAAACGGGCGACAGACACAGAGAGACGGGTATAGAGGACCCAGATAGGTGGCTCAGGCCTGTAACCCCAGCACTTGGGGAGGCCGAGGGGAGGATCGCTTGAGCCGCCCAGGAGTTCGAGACAAGTCTGGGCAACATAGCAAATCCCCGTCTCTACAAAAAATACAAAAATTGTCCAAGCGCAGCGCCGCGTGCCTGTAATCCTAGCTACTTGGGAGGCTGAGGCAGAAGGATGCTTAGGCCTAGGGGTTGGAGGCTGCAGTGTGCTATGATTGCACCACTGCACCACAGCCTGGGACAGGGCAAAACCTATCTCTAAAAATGAGAGGGAGAGACCAGATAGACAGAGACTCAGAGACAGAGGGACCCAGAGAGAGGAGAGACTACTGAACAGAGAGAACCAAACAAGTAAGAGTTGCAGAGAGATCAAGAAACCAGACAGAGGCCCAGAGACATGGAGACTGACAGACAAAGACCCAAAAGAGATAGATACACAGTGAGACCGGAGAAGAGAGTCAGAGAGGGGAATCGAGTCGGAGGGAAACCTAGAAATAAATGGCAGAGATGCTCAGAGAAACAAATAGAGACAAACCTCGAGAGAGGGAGATACTCCCAGGGAGAAAGATCTAGTGACTCGGAGTTAGCGGACAGATACTGAGTCCGTGAGATGGGGAGGGGTGGAGAGAGAGACAGAGAGACAGATCCAGGCACTACGACAAAGTGACGCCAAGAGAATAGGACCTGGATAGAGAAAAAGAAACACCTTTCATAAGTCGGCTTTGTATCCCCCCACCTCCCATACGGTACTGCAAGCCTCTGTGGTCGGTGTGGTCGGGTAGTCACTGGACTTGCACCCTCCCCGACTCCGACCTTAAATACAAGAGGCTAAGGCCGGGCGCCGGGACTCACGCCTGTAATCCCAGCACTTTGGGAAGCCGAGGTGGGGGAATCGACTGAGTCTAGGAGTTTAAGACGAGCCTGGGCAACATAGTATGACCCCCTCTCTACAAAAATAAATAAATAAATAAAGAGGTTGGCGTGGTGGTGAGCCCCTGTAGTCACAGCTGCTCAGGAGGCTGAAGCAGGAGGATCGCTTGAGCCCGGGAGGTCGATGCTTCAATGAGCCGTAATCACACCATTACACTCCATCCAGTGAGACCCTATCTCAGGACAAAAGAGCCTGCGACAGATTATGGGCATGGTGTTTGTGTTAGGTGGACTGAGACCTGCTGAGGGGGATGTGGGTGGGGACCAGACCTATTTTGAGATTGCAAGGGGGGAGGCATCTCCACTTACCACGCCCCTTCAACTTCAGCCCGAGGCTACGCCTTCGATAGCGAAGGTGGCCACACACCCCGCATCCACCTCTTTGGGGGATGGGGTGCGAGGGGCCGCGCGGCGTTTGCGAGGACAGCAGCTGGAGGCATTGACTCGCGTGGCCCTGATGGAGCAGCGAGTGAAGGAGCTACAGCGCCAGAGGAAGGAGCTGAAGATCGAGGTGAGGCTGCGGACCCCTTGGGAAGCCTGGCCCCAACTCAAAGGGAACCCACAAGGCCGAACTCCCAGCCTTTTCCTCCAGTGGGATCAAATTCTAGGCCCGCCCG